TGAATGTTGTGCTTTTAATGATGTATTGTCCTATATGTAACTCGGGTTGTCTCCCCCTCCCCGTGAATTGTGAGCCGCCCTGAGTCCCCTTGGGGAAAAGGGCGGTATACAAATATTAATAAATACAAATACAAATTTTCTTTGTTGGAACCTAGCCAGAAGGTTGCAAATGGTGTGATAACATGACCTGAGAATGCTACATCCATTATAAATAGATGCTAGTTACTGAGTGCATGAAGTTTGATCATGTGATTGGAGGGATGCTGCAATGGTCAGAAATGTGAGGACTGGTTGTAAGTAACATTTTTCAGTATACCATTGTAACTGCATAACAAGAACTACCTGTCCTTGCTCATAAGTATGTCCCCTGCTATACCAGACATATAGTTTAGGACAAGGATGAGCAAAATTCTTATGACTTGAAGAATATTTTTAATAAGGATCACAGATGGAACGGGAAGTAATATAACAATATTTCTGGATTGGGGGAGAACATTTATTAATGAGATCTCAGGAGTTATTTTAACACTATTAGATCTAGCTTGCTGCATATATTTCTTTTCATTACACAGAAAATCAATAGGAAATTTTGTCTGTTAACTGTTTACTGTAATTCAGAGTTTAGTGTTGAATTTCAGCATGATCAAAAAGGGCTGATGTAGCCCTTTGTTTAAAGGGAATTGGCCCATTATTTCTGCTATTCTTTCCATTTATTTTATTGCTGCCACATTTTTACCATCTATTTATAAGGATAAATGGTAAATCAAGCCTAAGTTTCAAGCCTTAAGTTTCTACTGTGCTATTAAAAGCCTAAAAATGGTAAGTGCATTAATGGCTAAAAATAAATCTGAAAAAAGATGCATATTAGAATGTAACCAAACTAAAAGAGAGAGAAAATAGCTGGCTAAATGAAGTACTATTTTGAATATTAATATTAATAACACAACTTCTAAGGAAACAGCACTCAGTTCATGGAAAATGACAATGTTGATGAAGATTACATTACAAATGTAACACATCTGTGCAAACCTGTATCTTAAAAACTTTTTTTAGTATAATCAAAAGTGGGCCACAAGAATTTTATTTACAAGTTTTTCATCATAATCTTCCCATGCTATTATAACTATGTTAAATATTAGTCTCTGGACATAGACAATTATGAACACAACTACACCTGTGTTGTTACATCTCTACTATGTCAAATATGAACCATCCATGCATGTTCCAAATAATTGAATGACTTCACTTGAATAATTATTCTATTTGCATTTAAGTGCTTTAAAAATGAGTATTACTATTTTATGGTATTTCTGATTGGGTGATTATTCCCAGACCAGTAGACTTCACTAAGCATTTTATATCTGAACCCTATATGTCCAGTGGACAAAGTGCTTTAATTAAAAACGGTTCTATAATACCACTTTTCATAGCAACAATAGCACAGGTAATTCAGTTTGGATCATTTACTTTATCTATAGGAATCCTAAGAATTATGGGAAGAATCTTGAATATTTGTTTTTTTTTAAACAAAATTACAAATACATACATAGGGAGTGAAAGACGGAAATTAAAAGATAATTTTCTATTCTATGATATGAATATTGGTTTGTTGCACTTAGGCCCCACTGTAATAATATCTGGTAGAAGTTAATCATGTTGCATATTCCAGTAGTAAAATTACAGCCCAAATGACTTGAAGCAAACTTGGCAGCTTCCAGGCACATGGTTTTCTACTCTCAGAAATGGTTGATGATGGCAAAATTCTGGAAGTTGAAAGCCGTACATTCGGTAGTTGCAAGGCTGAAAAATACTGTTCTAAAGGGATGTTTCTTTATGCACATATCTAGACACTGATGAACAATGTTTTGAGTGCTTTGGTTTAATCTCATAGCAATAGCAATAGCA